GGCGCTGTGTCCCGCTAACCACCGCACCGCACACACACTCTGCTCCGGTCCAGAGATACGATAGCACGGAGCGGATCACATGCACGAGTCGACGCAGACCACACAATGTATATGAATTCTACACAGAATGCTATATTTTATAGAAATGTGGATGAGATTGTGGCTGTCAAATGCGGCTTTACGGAGCTCAACGGCTCTGAACGGCTCTAGCCCAAGCTGTGATATAAACGAACGCTATTGGCTATTTTAAAAAGGGGCGGGGCTGCTTGATATGTCCCGCCCTGTCTTCCTGTTTCAGTTAAAATGACGTCAACACATAGAGTTACGCTGCGTGTTTCTAAGCATTTCAGGGGACCTTTAAGTCGCTGGGGTATATTTGTAGCAATAGCCAACAATACATCGTATGGGTCAAAATTATTGATTTTTCTTTTATGCCAAAAATCATTAGGATATTAAGTAAAGATCATGTTCCATGAAGATATTTTGTAAATGTCCTACCGTAAATATATCAAAACTTAATTTTTGATTAGTAATATGCATTGCTAAGAACTTCATTTGGACAACTTTAAAGATGATTTTCTCAATATTTAGATTTTTTTGCACCCTCAGATTCCAGATTTTCAAATAGTTGTATCTCGGCCAAATATTGTCCTATCCTAACAAACCATACATCAATGGAAAGCGTATTTATTCAGCTTTCAGATGATGTATTAATCTCAATTTCCAAAATATGACCCTTATGACTGGTTTTGTGGTCCTGGGTCACATTTGTGTTTCATGCAGTTATGTGCTGCGTCCAGAGCTGGGTAGTAACTGATCACATGTGGATTACGTAATCAGATTCCAAAAATTAGATTTAATTCCATTTTAAAATACTCGTAATCAGACTACAGTTGCTTTTTTATGGATTACATGATTACATATTATTTACACAACAGCAATAAATTATTCATCATTTATTGATTCTCCCTAATATCTCTTTTTCATCTTTTAAATGTTCCTTTCTGAAATAGCCTACTGCTTCATTGAGAAAGTCTCCCAGTTTTGTGGACGTTCACACAGAGACCAGTCATTATACACTACACTGCATTTGACCACTGATTTACAAAAATCATTTCAGGTTTAAGAAGTGTTTCAACATTGCATAAAATTCTGATGAACACATAAATTTTTATTTGAATTAGCACCCTGTAGGTTATTTAACCATATTTTTCCATGTCTTTAGAAGGCTTTTGTCGTTCAAACACATTAAAATGAATTCACAAATTCACAAATAACTTTTTTTCTCATCTGATCCTCTTTCACCTAATATATTTACTTAAAATCTTATTTTAAAATCTTAAGTCTATTTTAAGTATCATTGGTTATGGTCACATGACATGCGGGTAAACAAATAAAATATATATATATATATATATACATA